CTAGACCATGACACATCAGAAGTCATGGATTATCACAGTAAAATTAAATAATATATACACTTACATTAAAAATAGTTTTAAAAGACTATTTAATATTATTTTTAACTTATTTAGAAATCTAATATTTATTGTGGAATATTATTATTATTCTAACCAGGATTTTGATCATGTTATTTAATTTTTTTTTGTTGTTGTATCAATTTATGTCATGGTGGACGTTTTTCAACCTGAAATATTTTGTTTTTGGACATGACCCAAAACAAAATACTGAGTCAATAGTTTCATTATGTGACTTTAACACTTTCCTGATTTATACATGGCTCCATTTTTGTTTGTGGTTAATTAGCATTTACTCTGAATAATGAGGAATACCATAGTTAGCTGCATAAATTTTAATCCAGGTGCGTAATGCCATAGTGATATGATTTTGAAGACATTTTCTTTAACGATAAATCAGTTGAAAGAACACATTTTGTTTTTCCAAAATGTAGAAATAAAGCTCATAAATGTAATAATTACACAGTATATTAGCATTAATTTGCTTTTGGGTGTGTGTAATAAAGAAGTAAATAAAGAATTACTTTAGATGACTGCTAATACTTCATCAATTAAGGAGAGACTGAGCAGAAATTCAAAGGTAGCCAAGCAACAGGGGAAAGCACACATGCATATTTTGCTCTTCCACTCCCTTCCACCTTTCTCTTGGCTTTTCAACCCTTTTGTGCACACACACACACACACGCACATACAAACACACAACACAGACACACATATACATTCCCTCCATGCTCATGAAGGAGTCTATTATCATTTACCAGAGCACAGGAACACAATGTTAAGCTTGTCTCTGCAGTCTCGTCTGCTGGGTCAAGGCTAAAATAGAAGCTGTCCACAGAATTAGCCGATGGCACAGTGAGAGGAAGAAGTGCAGAGCAAGAAAAGGCAGAAAAAGTGAGAATGAGACAGTGAAAGAGGAGGAGCAATTGATAGGAAGAGAAAACTTTTCTGTTAAAAGAATCTGCTGAAGAAGGCAGCATTTTGGGAGGTGTACTTGCTCCCCAGACTGTTGCAGTAGTTCTTGGTGAGGTATTTTAATAGGCCTGTGTCTCTATAAAGCTGCCTTTGATCATGCACTTAGGCTGCACGTGAACGCCGGAAACAGACACCTGGTCACGCTCTAAAGCTTGTCTGTGTGCCTGCCTTAAAGTATGAAGTGACTTTGTGCCAATTCATGACTCAGATCAAACCGACATGCTTGTAGAAAAGTTTCTTGTTGATGGAATCTTGTCATTTCTTCACATGTGGTGCCATTACTCATAATTCATTACTCAAAACAAATAGACTACTCATCCTTAAGAAATAGCTGTTTAACTTCCACATTCATGAAAGGCCACCAGGGCCTGCCCAAGATATAAGCAAACTAAGCAGAAGCTCAGGGCTCCAGGGCTACCAAGGGCCCCCCTCAGAGTTTTATTTTTAGTGACGATTTCTGTCATAGAATGACAAAAACACTATTTCATCATGAAGTGATTTGTTTTTACAATGATACATATTTGATGATGTGTGTAGAAAGAATTTATGGACAAAAAGAAAATAAAAAATGCTAGGTGAGTTACGCTTTAGAGAAATTAATTTAATCATAGAATGTGATAAAAATGTGTGTAGGGCTGCACCAATTCCAGTTTTCTGGCCGATCCGTAGTTACCAATCTTTAAAACTCCTGACCTGCCAATTTTGATTTTGGACAATATCAATCTTTTTGTCTGTAATGTCACTAAATATAGCAAGAAAGTTACTGAGTTGGCAACAGTGGGGTGACTATTGTTAATTGTAAACATTCAGACCTGACCTGGTGGGCCGGTCTGGTCTGTCAGTCAAACCTTTCACTGCAGAGCAGAAGAGAACAGAGACTGATTTGTCGTCTTCGCTGGCGAAAATAAGACCAGTGGATAAGATCAGCTTCACATGTGAGCATCAATCGATCACCGATCCCCCAAAAATAAGAAAATTGGTGCCCAGAAAACCACCGGCCGATAAATCCATCCTATATTACATATGCATAGAATACAATGCAAACAGCATCATCAGAGATGGAATAAGTTTATTGCTGGTGTGTGAATGATCTAATATTCTAACCTTTGATTCCAGCCGGCCCACATTGTTAGCAGAAATAGAGGACCCCAAAACCAATTTTTGCTTCGAGCCCCACGGACGCTTGAGCCGGCCCTGAAGGCCACTCATCATGTAAAAGGCAATTTGCTGTCCAAAGCTTTTAATTTGTCTCTAAAATCTAAATGCCAATAAAGTCTCTAACATGAAAATGACACCATTAAACTACAACTGATAGACGGTTAGATTGGACCACAGCTTTCGCAAATACATTCATATTTTCTTCCTTTTGTACATCTAGCTTGTTTCAGTTGCTTCACCTTCATATTAAACATCAAGCAACAAGTTAAGTTGACCTTAAGTGCTATTAATACTTATAAGGATGCATTTAATTCTTTTTTCCGTATGACACTGTAATGTTAGCCAGTTTCCACTCAGTTGTTTGTCATTCTTTTCTATGCTTTTATAATTCATTTTGTTTGTGAATTGGAATATGACACAGTTGTATAAGCTTGTTAAAGGAGACTGACACCTCTTTTCATTTCAAAGCCATCCATCTGTCCACCTATACATTCATTCATAAAAAGAATTTTGATAAAGTTTTGATTTTTGATTTTTTTATATTTTGATATAAAAGTGTAGGAAGGACCTTACTAATCTCGGATTCTGCGGGGGATTTATTTTTATACCAAAACTGTTCTGAATGACACATACATCCAGTCTCAGCTGATCAGTACTGCCTTTTGTTGAATATTTTTACTAGTTCCCGATAAAACTCTGTGCTGGTTGGTCTTCTTCCCGTACAGTAGGAGATTACAGGAGGAATAAAGTGAGTCAAGGTTTACCCTGACTTGACTGATCGCATGACTTTAAGTGCAACGCAAATGGAGCTCATAAAGTTGCCACCCTACAAAGCTTGGCCCCCTGTGGGACATCTGATATTACAGCATACATGTGTTTGAGCAGGTAGGAGGTATGTCTGCGCGGAGTCTGCTGAAATCATGTTTGTGTGCAGCCTACATGTTTGCTGGTGCATGTTTATGTGAGCCCACGTGCACACGCAGGGAATAATCAGCTCCAGATGAGATTTCAGTATCTGCCAGCTTCCCAGAATAGCAGCGCTGCCTTCCCTGCAGCCCTCCAACTGGCCTTGACAAATATTTTAGCAACTTCATGTTTACCTTCACACTCGAGGGTACTCACCCCCTCACTCCCAGTCCCTCTCGATCAGAATTAATCTGCTCTCCACCAAGTAAACTCCTCAGCACAGCCTAAGTCGGACAAACTCTGCAGTGCGCTCCCCCGCTCTCTGCTCCAAAAAATTCATTCCCGTATCTATCAGCAAGCACGCAGCTGCATCGCCTGTGCTGTTTATCTCTAAAAGTTCCCGTACATAAAAATTCACAGACAGTCACAGGCAGCAAGGCATTCCACTCACCATGATCGATGGGATGTTTGCCTTTTTGGAGTTCTAGCGAGGCGTGACAGTTGAAAAGCGTCATAAAAAGAAGGGAGTCTGAATTAATATAAAACATTTCTGCACATATCTAACAATTTCTCACTGTGTCAGAGAGAGAGAGGAAACTATATTTTCCCATTTTCACAGTGCTTTACGAAAGCGTATATACCGCTTGAAGTTTTTCACATTTTGCCAACTACCACCACAAACTTTAATGCGTTTTTATGAGACAGAACACAAAGCAGTGAGTTATTGTGGATGCAGGGAAGAAATGAATGCAACTGATTTTATACAAAATACAAATCTGAAAGGTATCAAGTGCATTTAAGATTGTCTCTGAAATCCAGTGCAACTAACTGCAAACAGTCTGTCTGTGCAATTTAATCCCAGTGTAAATGCAGCTGATCTGTGAAGGCCTTAAAGGTTTGCTTGAGAAAATCCCACACTTCAAATCTCTAAGAGTACTGTACAATAAAGTACAACATAAAGTTAAAAAGGTTTGGCCAAACCTATGCATTACAAGCATTGGAACTGGTGCATCATTACTCAGAGGAATTGCAAAGAAACACATAATACCTCTGGAGAAGCTGCATAGCTCCACATGCTTGGTGTTGTACAGACAGTTATTAGCCGTCCTCTCCAGATCCCAGATTTAATGAGTGAGTGGCAAGATGAAAACCATAAGAAGACACATTTAAAGCTTGCCACAAGCTATCTAAGGGACACAGCAAACATGTGGAAGAAGGTGTACTGGTCATATAAGACCAATATTGAACTTTTTGACCTACATGCAAACACTATGTGTGGCGGAAGTCTAAGTCTGAATATTCCACTGAACCCACTACTCCAATGGAGAAACACTCTGGTGGCACCATCCTACAGCAGATGGTTTTTTTCTTTAGCAGGAACAGGCGAACATTAAAGGGGAAATGGATGGAGTTGAACACAGGCCAATTTAAGAAGAAAACCCTGTTGAAATATGGGCAAATATTCAGCCAGAGGTCCAATTGAATCATTAGGTCAAAGCATATTCATGTCTTAAAATGGCCCAGTCAAAGTCTAAACCAACCCCTTGAGACCTGAATTTGAGGAATCCTGGTCTAGATCATAAACAACTGAAATTAGTGGCAATATTTTTCAAAAGTTATTTGTTCAAGAACACTTTCCATCCATTCTACTTAGGAGCTTTGCAAAGAAAAATGGGCAAAACGTTAAGGTTAAAATTCTAATAAAGTCTGCTGAAGCTTCCAGTAATGCGTGAAGAAGTTCAGCTTCTGTGAATACTTTTGCAAGGTATAGCAACTTGTCACTAAGAGGTAAAATTAACTGTCTTCTCATCTGGTTTTGTGAGAACAACCAAACAATTTGATAACATTTCTAATTTTCCCATGTTTTTTTTTTCCTTTTTTTTTTTCCCTCTTCTTTTTTTCAGTGTCGCCCATCCAAAGGCAGGAACCGGGGCTTCTGTTGGTGCGTGGACAAATACGGGCAGCCTCTCCCAGGCTACGATGACAAGCAGGGAAAGACAAAGTGCTATCACCTGGAGAGTAAATGAGGGGAGGACAGATGAGACAACCCATGGATGGAGAGAAAGAGGAAAACAGCACAAAAAAAGTCAAAAAAAGAAATGGAACGAAAGAAATAAGGGAAAGGGAACGAGGACCTGTTTTTGCTCTTGCATGTAGATTGATGTAAACATTTGAAGGAACTTTGGACCTTTTGTTTTAGGTCCCATTTCAAGGGTGGGGGGAGTACAAGGATTAGGGAGAGGGTAGGGGGTGGAGCACAGTCTCCTGTCCTTTATAGCTATCTGTCCTATACTTAGGGAACCTCCATCCTTTCTTTAAAATATGTATAAAAAACAGTTAAGCTGAGACAGAATGGGAGGAAAGAATAAATCCTATCATCTGCACTATTTTTAAAGGGGGAGAGGAAGGAGGGACTTTCCCACTCACTTTAAAGAGGACTTGTTTATGACTGTGACCCCGCGCCCCCCTCTAAGAAAGTCACACCAACACCGATCTATCATGTGTGTGTTTGTTGTAAGTGTGTAACCGCGAGGTTTGTTTGTCTTTTAATCCGTGAGCGCCTGCATAACTTACGTTTTCACAGCTGCCTGTCTGTGCAAGATGGTGTGTGAGAGCATGCTTTCCCAAAACAGCTTCCCTTCCTTCGACCCTGCTCCATCAAACAATGCAGAAAAAGACAACACCTTCTGGCTCAGGGTCCATTTTGTAGTGCAAGGTGTATGGAATGGCAGAGTTTTTTTTTTTTTTTTTTAGCACGTTGACCTCCTTTCTTTGCTGCCTTTTTGCTGTTTGTCACTGATGTGCAGGGTAGATGGATTGAAGGCAACCTGTGCAGTTAAAGTGCCTTAAAATCCTTAACACCTCCTTTTTCCTTCTTAATTGCATGAGACAAGTTATGTTTCAAATATTAAGACTTGAGAAGTCTTGAGAAGACCTGAGAGCATCCAATGCATGTTACATTTCTAGATTTTGATAATCGTTTTAGAACAAATAGGTATATCAGCATAATTTCTAGCAGAGATCCAAGGCATTGTATCCTCTGTTTAAACAGATTTTGAAGAAAGGACATTAAAAATACCACCCCAGCCTGACTGATGGATGTTTGCTGAATTGAAAAGCCGTCCAAGCTAACCACATACGTTTTCATGAGTGCATTTAAAAGCTAGTTTGCTCACTTGAAATCAAATTTTTGATGGTTTTCTCGTAAAAGCAGTCAATCTACGTAAAATCTGCTTGCACGTTTACAAATACGACATTAATTTTCTTCCCCGTGTTCTGTGTTCATTCTTCTCTCATCGTTCTTGCAACTCTGAGGTTCTCTAGTCCTTAATCACATGCCATTGTCCTCAGCTTGCCCTCTTTCTGTGTATGTGCCTGATCCTGATCCCTTGCCCCGCCTCATCCTGTCTTAGTGGTGCAACATGGTGTTTGCTTGTTTCAGTTTTTTTTTCTTTACGGGTCAAGTCAGGTGTGACCGTTTTTGCTCTGCCACAGGTGCCAGCTGCCCCCTATGCTTCAAGCACAAGCACTTATAGCACTTTAGCTGTCCCGCTGCTACGCAGTTCTAGACAATTGGACCTATCTGCGTCTGCGTAACCTTCCATGGCGGTAATGCCAAATTTAACAGCGTGTTATAAGAAAACAATAATATTCCATTGAGAAAAATAAATGAAAGTAAATGTATACAATTCAGGTCCATTTTTGTGCAAAAGCTTTAAAGCGTCTTTTTTTCCTGAAACTTACAGGCTGTCAGACTTTCATGTAATCTTTTAAAGTGTGTTTGATCACCAGTTCTGGTGGCTTTGTAAAACCTTTCTCAGGGCTTTTAAAAAATGTTCTTTGAAAATCAACTCAACTGTCCGGTCCTTTTACCTCACCATGACAGTATACTGTGAATGGTACTTTGAAAAATAGCACAAGGTAATTACTAGTAGTAATTAGTTAGAACTAACTAGTACTAATTTGTTTTAACACCATAGTACCATAAAAGATAATTAAGGATCCTTTTGCATTTGTTTCATTCTTAAATGGTTTTCATTTTAATATTAGATTTATGAAAGGTCAGTAAAGTTACATGAATGCTTCCCAGCCCATATGTGTGATTTTATGAATAACACATAAAACATGCTTTAAATTATTCCTAAAAGTCTATTTTGGTCATTAATACATACAATTTTCAAAAAATATATTTTCTCCTCTTTTAGCCCACAGAAAAACTTTCAGATAGATTTAGAAAGGCTTGAGAAATTGATCTAAACCACTTCAGCAACATTGCAGGAAAGTCTTTCCGCTTGGAAGCAAACTATGAAGTAAAAGAAGGGTTGTTTAAAACTTTTGGACTGTAGTGGAAACCAGATCTCCTGGCAACAAATATAACAACAAATATAACAAACAACCGCGTTGGTGTTTTTCCATTGAGTGCATCTATTTTTTTTCTCCTTTGTTTTTATTGTTGATGCTTTTGTTTCTTTGAGAAAATGCTTGTGTGATCACATGCCAACAAATCTCCACAAGGTGGACACAGCACCAAAAATGCATTCACACACATGGCAGGGGGTCTTACAGAGGCAGTGCGGTCCTCTCTATGGGGCTTCCTGCCCCATGCTCTCCCACATCCTGTGCACAGACTTGAAATGTGGAGAGATGGCCGAAGAGAGCCTGCTCAGTTGCTCAGTAGCTCAGTAGCACCACATCAACTTAACACACTCAGATGGCGGCAACTTACAACCAGCCTATTGGTGCTAAATCCCATCTATTCAGAGACTTGATTTAAGGGGAGGAACAAACAGAAAACATTTAAGCTATTCCCTCCCTAATATTTGTACGTGTGTCTTTTTATATATTATTATTTTTATTGTTATTTTTAGTAATATTTCCTGGCCAGCTACATGTCTGACTGGACATCATGTACAGTGCGTAAAAATAAAAATTATTTATCTATGAAAGAATTATAAGCTGATCCAAAATTGGTTTTCTTATGAAGAATTCAGTGACTCACCGATTGCACAGCACAGTCTATATGATTCAGTGTATTTTTGGGGACTATAATCACTAATGAATGTTTTCTTCTTGAAGAACCATTTCCTTCTGTTGCTAACCTCCACTCCCTCTCAGTGTGGCATTCAGGCCATCCATGTTCACCAGCCCTTAAGGACAGTGAACCTCTCACAACATCACTTCCCTCCATGCACACACGCAGCCATCCTGCCTCCGCCAGTCAGCGCAGAACCAGGGTCACATTTCTGTTCTGTCACATTTTATTCAGTTTTCAAACCAGCTTCTTAAAGCTGAAGCTCTCTCTGTTCACGGGTATTGTAATGTTTTATTCAAGCTTCTCGTGGTACAAGCTACAAATCACAAAGCTATTTTTTTTTTCCAAAAGAGGAAATGATTTTGAATCAAGATATACTTTGTATTTAATGTCATTTTTTAAATAAAAATGAACACATTTTAAGAAGTTTGACTTTGATGTTTTGCTTTGTCTCTTTTGCGACTTGCACCGATGATCATCTAAGCACCACCAACACGCAACAACATCCCAGGTGAAAATGTGTAAAAACCATGTTAGTAAAAAAGCAGTATATAGTAGCACTGTAATCTCACACCAAAATTGTTTAGAAACTGGGTTACATTTATTCAATCCAAAAAAAAAGTTAGATGCCAATAGTAAGTCAACAGTTTGTTTCGAAGTTAGTATGTTAATATGTTTGGAAATAGGACATATTCAAATTCTGAGATGTTTTAAGATAACTGAAATTTATTTTTGGATGATTAGCCACTGACTGAAAAGCTAAAAGCAAAGCAATTTTTTTTTACTGCATGTAAGGTACCGTTTGCTCATAAATCTTTACTGAAATAACAATTCTGAAAAATGTGAACTATTCCTTTAATTAATGCAGGGAATCAGGACAAAAATTTGCTCCGGGGAAGCAATCAAGCTCCCCTCAGGGGTGGAATGTGTCAATACAGATGAAGCAAAGGTTGAATTTGTAAAGAACAAAAATAAATCTGGTGGTGCCAGGCAGGCTGGCAGTGGGCATGAGAGGTTGAGGCAAATTCCTGTGCCCAACCAAGGCAAATAGAGCGGGTCAAAAGGCAGTGCTGAGCCGGCTAAAGTTAGACGAGCACCTCCACTTTAGATCTCTGTGATAACAAAACAGACTACAGACAGAGAAACGTGATCTTGGAAAGCATTAAGTCATGAATGTTAGAGCTTTGTGATTATTTCCACAGTCATACTACCTTGTTATTTTTGCAAATAATTATAAGAAAATATATATTTTGGGGTATGTCTCTATAAACTTTCACATCCAGAGACTGCCATGCAAAGCCTCAAATTCAAAAATTACGGGCCCATTTTTAAGATTTCTTTTGAGATTTCAGTAATTCACCCATATGTTGAAAATAAGTTACTACAATGCAGCCACAGCTGCTGTGCACCAGTCCCTATAACGACCACCATCAGGCTATACAGGTAAGTGTCTCACCCATTGGCACAACTGAGACTGAAGCAAGGGTTCAAATCGACAACCCACCGATTACTCCTGCCACTGTCACCACTATTGGCCCAAGGAGAAAAATAGAAGATCTTTGGTGAGTTACAGCCCTTCTCATCTACTTCTCCAGGCTTCTCTAGCATCTAGTGATATTCTGTCAGGAGATTTGAGGGCATCAATGGCTCTACTGGATCTAACATCTCCCTTGCAAACAGTTGATCATTGTATTTTGGTTAACAAACTTCATAAGAGGGTTTATCAGATATGGCTCTTAATTGGTTTCACTATTATCTTTTTGATAAGATAATTCTGTGACATTGCAAACCAAATCATATCAGATTCTAGCAATGTCTTTTGTGAGCTACCGCAGTATTCAGTCCCAAAATCTATTTTATGTTTTACCCAAGGCCTATTCATTGGGGAGTTCCCTGATGGGCTCCATAATTTCTGCACTGTTGGCATGTATAGCCGAGCTTACATCTAAAGTTATCCTTGATAAAATATTGACCCGTATAAGCAGTGGCTTAGTGACAAAAAGCTTGAGTTATAGGAGTTCAAATTTAGAAATATCTGCCTATGACATAGATTGTAATAAAATAGAATAAAGCTTGTGGTTAAAATGTGGGATATATGACAGGAGTGCAACTGAGATTAATGTTTTTATTAAATATATCACCTTTTTTCTTTTATTACATGTCAGTAACAAAAGTGTACATAGAGTTAGTCACTTTGGAATAGATCCACATAAAATACAATTCTCTCTCCAACAGCAGCATGTATACAGAGCCGAGTCAAGCAGCTCACTCTTTGTGGTCATGTGGTCAAAGAGGACAGAAACATCAACAAAAAAAAAAAAAATGACAGCAGACACGTAAATATTGGAGGTAGGTTAATGTAGAGATACCCGTTTGAGAGGAGGCTCGGGAGAATTGCCACCCATCACGTTATCTGCAAACCCATGGGATCATGGGAAATGATTTCTGAGAGTGTAGAGGATTCCCAACTGAGAGCTTTTGCATTCACTTACAGAAACTGATGTATAATTTTATTAAATAAAAAAAAAGAAAACAATACAAAAATAATAAAAAATAAAAAAAGTCATGAAGTGAAAAGGAATAAGAAGATCATTTAGAAAAACTTCTAAATGAGATTTGGTCATTCAGTGCTTTTGTTCTTGCTCGGTTTTTCTCAAACCAAACCTCCAGACAGCTCCTTAAGGGTAGAGCGAGCTCAACTCAGCTGTGGAGCTGTGGGGGCCAAGATACATATATACACTTTATACACTCATAAAAATAATAAGATAATAACAATAAGGCAAAAAAGATATAAATACTCATGAATAATTACAAATAACAAATAAAAAGCAATAAAATAAATAAGGCTATAGAGCATAATGTAAATGCATTGACATTAAAATCTCCTTTACAGAAAAAACAAAAATAGATTTTCTTTGTGTCTTTGGGATGGAGGTTTGCAGAGGAAGGGGGGTTTAGGGTGTAGGGTGGTTGGGACCTATAGCCCCGTAATGACAGTGTACCTGAATTAAACACCACCATGGACAAGGTCAATAAATAACAGCTACCCAAAAAAAGGAAAAATAGTGGCTTGCTTTTTCGTTTCTTCGTTTCTTTTTTTTTTTCTTCTTCTTTTTTTCTCTCTTTCACTGTGAGATCGGACCAATCTCTTTAAGGACACTCGGCATCTGCAGGCAGGTCACTGGAACTTAAAAGCTTGCCATTCCAGGTGTTGACGCACCAACATCGGCCCTTTTGTCCATCCAGAGATGATTCACACTGTGGGGAAACAGAAACAGAAAGCCTTCTTATTTCAACTGCTTTCATTTGTCACAGATCACGACGCATGTATCAGCTCTAAAATGAAACTTGGTGCATATCAAGTTGCACGTCGTTTCAAAAAACACTCAAATGCCTTTCAGTATTATTACTATGGTTAAATTCCTGTACAGAGTGTCAACAAAAGTGTTAGCGCTGATAGTTTTCTCTGGCTGTGTCAGATTCCCTCTCCCCAACCTACTCCTGCACACTGCAAGTCAGCTGGCTCGATAAGGCTACTGTAGTTTTTCCTTGCCTACCAAAAAGACACTTTTTGTAGAACATTTTCTGGACATGAGAAACATGAACAGTCATGGTGTGGAAACTGAAAGAATACCACCCAACATTTTCATTAATGTAGTGTTGCTGTTTTAAAGCTACAGCTGGGAAGCAATGAGTGGGACGTCTGAACAGTGGCTAACTGCTGCCGCTACCTGAGCAGAGAGCCTGACTAATTACACAACTAATAGCTTGTAAACTTGCTAAGCAGAACAGATGTAGACTATATAGAATGACATAATATTTTGGGGGATTACATGTCAAAAACAGAATGATACATGCATGGACAACTTTAACATGAGACCTTTGAATAAAATATGAGAGTGATTTTATTGCATTACAAATTCCAGCATGCTTTCCATATGTGTCTCATATAGGTAAGAAATTTGATAAGTAATGGGCCCCAGATGGGATGTCTACAGCTTACATAATGGCTCAGTGTTAATCACTTCTACAGGCTGGATGCAGGATAACTGTGTAAAAAGGAATCCCATATGGGTCCAAGATGTACTGCACAATTTAAACTGATTTTATTAAGGTCAATTTGAGACCCAGTAAGACCTGCTGGTGTTTAGTCAACCAAAGCAGATCTCCTTTGAGAAGCTTGAGAAAAATCAGCTCATAGCTCACATACACAGGTTTGCTGAGAATGCTTGCAACAAATGAAATATCATGTTTCTTAAATATGTATTAATTGATTTGAAAGTACAAAAAAAAAAAAAACACTGCCTTGTTATAACTTGTGTTATCATGCTGTGCAAATCTCAGCCTCACCAATTCCTAAAATCTATCTTTGTCATCCTCAAAAGACACCAACCTGCTTGGGTTTGTAAAGGCCACGCTTGTCACAGTTGGGGAGGTAGAATTTGGTGAACTTCTCTCCTTGTTTCTCTTGGGATTTGGTAATCTTGTCCAAAGCAGTCACCAACTCCAGATGACAAGGACCCTAAACAGAAGAAGCAGTGGTGAGCAGATTAATCAAAACATCATTATCACTTTTTCGCAAGCAGCAAGCGCGGGGGTTCTGATATTAAAGTGCAAATAAAACTTAAGGAAACGCGAGTCTCGTTGCATCCCTCTAATTTCAAACAGCGCACCAGCTCCCCCTGGTGGTCATCAGTCATCTTTAAATCCTCCGAAAAACTTTCATCCTCTCAAAAATCTACATTTTCACGCTAGCAACGTTTGTCTCACCTGCTCCACCAGTTTCCTGCGAATGGCGATGAGTTTGGCTTTCATGCTCTCCTGAGCCTCAGTCACAGCCCGCGGGTCAAAGGGGAGACCGGGGAGGTAGCTGGAGCCGGTGATGGCTGAGTTGTCCATCTCAGCGTCTGGCTCTCCCTGGTCTGGAGGAGGAAACAAGCAAATGAATGAATGAATTAATGAGAAAACATATATGAAGAACTCGTCTGATTCCAGCGGTGCGGCTGTGGGATATGTGACCGTGGACGTGGGAGGCCTACCTTGAGTCTGGGGCTCCGGGGTGGGCGCCGGCGCAGCGCTCTCCGTGCATACGGCCTGTCCGCGGGTGAGGGAATGCAGTGGCCGGGGGTCGCCGGGTCTCGGGGTGCATCTCAATCCGGAGCCGCACGGTGCGGTGTAGATCCCGCACAGCTCCCCCGCCTTCAGGGCGCAGGCGAGGCAGCATCCGCATCCGGGCTCCCGCAGCACCTCGGCGCAACCGGGTGCCACCGCCGGACACTGGCTCAGTCGTTCCGGGGTACACGGGGCGCATCGGATCGGTTCTGACCCCACCACCGGGGACCCCAGCGTCACCGTAACGAGCAGCGAGCACACAGCCACTGCCACAGCTACGTGCCTCAATCCACGCATAGCCAACATGTTCTGAGTATTAAATTGGAATATGTAATAAAGAGCAGTTCAGAGAAAATTTGCAGGTGAAAAGGCGCCGGACTGAATTCCCACGAATGCTACTCTGTGCCTTTCGTTTTTTGGAAGATGTCTAACTGTGCGTTGCGCGCAGCCGTATTTATAGCCGGTCTCTCTGTGAGTGTTTGACGCATCGGCGTTATGAATGATTTCTGAAAAGAAGGTGTAATGATACGATGAGCTCTGATTGGCCCGTCCGTGTCCGGTCATGTCGCTCATTTGAATACAACAATCGCGTCAATATTTATTTTGGAACAGGCGGTGCTTGGCACGTATTGCTGACGACACCAGTGTTTGATGTTGCAATCAAGGACCCCCTCTTCCTCCCCAACCCCCATTCTCACGCGGGTGCTACTCCAAGCCAGCGCATTTTAAGAACAACATACAGGCATTAAAGTCAGTTTGAGCTTATTTCCATAACTTGAAAGGGGAATGTGTTGTCACTCTGGAGCTGAGCTGGTGATTACTTTAGTGCCTGATTTCTGCTCTCACACAAACGGACCTCTATTTGTGACATTATTGTCTATTCATGCGTGTGTTTCTCCATTAATTGTCCTCAAAATAACGCCTTACACAACTTTGAGAAAAACTAATAGCCTAATGAGCGCAAATTACGCACGCCCACGTTGCGCGCAAAGAGCGTGGGTGCGCTGAGAACGAACTGGCCGCTCCAGTTTGACATGAGAAAGCATTCCGAGCACTGCGGCGGGATAATAAAACCAAGTTTCAGAAATAGCTGCGCAAATAAGGGTCGCCGTTTTTGCCAAGGGACGGGGCGACTCGGGACTTCGGTATGCGCACACAAAAGTCGGGCTTTGGAGTTCTTCCAGGAGATGTCCCGTAATTACCCTTTTCCTGGGGATAATAATAGACCGGAGCTCTGAATCGGGGCAGTCTGACATGACCACAGACACGTCCCTCTCATCGGCTTCCTCTGGGGGGATGTGAGGGTCCCACGCCGGAGAAACCTGCACGTTTTCACGGTTTGCTGCAAAGACGGCTTATGCACTGTCACTCTTGCCCAGAATGTGACAACGTCTCCCCCGCCCCCCGTTTACAATCAGCCCTCCATAGCATAGCATGCTTCCTCTGCTTCACGCCCTCACCTGTGTCTGATGACACATTTCAATTAACATCTCCTGTCTCAATCTGATGCAATCCAATGGAGTCCTCCTCTACATGCAACAGCCTAATGGGATTGCATCAGCTGACTACTGGTGTTAACCGTCACTCTCACTGATGCCCAGATTTCTTCCAGAGGCTTTAATACAACCTGGTGTTGCTAAGAACATTTTCTACCACCCATCCCATGACACATCCATATGTACAGTCAGATACCCGGTATACAAAGCTGTAATTTTATTAAACTGAATCATATTCTTTTATCAAGGTGACATGTGACAAAACTGCTGAATTTTAAGCTAACTATGGAGTCAACCCATCACCTCAATGATTAAATATTAGAGGCAGTTCTGAGGTAAATGTGGGATCTAACCTGGAGCTAGCAAGATGTACTTATTCAATTCTCCCATAATTGCTGCATAGTACAAATTATAAATCAAATATTGATGATACTCCAAAAAGTATTTACTAATCAAATGTTATCTGCATTTTTTTTATTTATTTTATTACTATACCTTTTAGTGAATTACAGAAGTTTCTAAAAGTATTTAAAAGAAGTATTTAAAAATACAAGTTCTTTAATGAATATTTCTACTGAAGAAAAAAAACCTTAGGTTTCATGTAAAACTGTCTTTTTAGAGATTTATATCATATCATAATGTTATTCCCTCATCAAAACCATAGCTGAAGTGTCGCTTTAATGTTTTTCCATGCACGTTTGACAAATTCTTGAATCTCCATTGTCTTTGTGGGGTGCCTAAATATTTAATCTCACAAAGCTCCACCATTTTCCACAAACTTCTTCTTTGGAACCTGCAGTCTCCAGCAGAGCTTCGACCTCTCCTCCCCTGCGTCTTATCTACTAAGCTCCTTCAGACTAGTGGCAGCAGGTGTTAGCAAACACCTGGTGGAGCTGCTCTCCTGCTGGGATTATCATACAAACTACTTCTCAGTCCAACACGCCTAAGAAGAGTTGTAAATGGCGTAGTGGAGGAGCATTGTTGTGACAACATGAAAGAGTAGGGATTTCTTAAAGAGACAGAGGCTTTTTTAAAGGCTCAAATTATGAAGTTAAATTACTTTTTATGTCATGTTAGATATATTCAGCATTTTCTTTTAAGGATTGGAGCTAGCATACTTATTTGATTGTGCTATAAAAGTTCACTGTGTGCCTGGAAACCATGTAATTACATCCCTTTAAAAATGGCCTATTAAATATAAACAGTGTCTGCACTTTTAGACGTCTGAGTGACAAAAATACTCATAAATTTGGACACACACATCAAATGCTTTAACCAGTTATAATTTTAAAATGTCTATATTTTGTGCAGTCAAATTTCCACATAATCTTTTGAAGTAGTCTATTACAGCAGTTTCCCAACAGTTATTTTGGGCATAGCAACCTTTTTACAGATATTTATCAGGCTAATAGTATTTTGTGAATTGTGTGTTTAGAAAATGTGTGTTTAGAAAGTAAATATGTCTTTATGCTGCCCCATGACTGGCCCTGCTAGTAGTCCTTATGTGAGGGTCATTGCTCATTGACTACATCGGTGTGGTGTAAAGTTAATTGAATGTTTATATGTGGTTTTGAAACCAATTGACAGTAATGTCTTGGAGGTAAAGCAGAGGATGACGGATAAATTTGAAATTGTTGTTATTCAGTTTCCTGTTACAATTCAGCAAATCAACAAAAGTTTGATACTGATCAAACTAAGTTTTTTTCTTTTAGAAACAACACATTCTGCGTTATTTCATCACAGAGGCAAGTAATTCTGACATTAAATGTAAGTTGTTACTCTGTAGTTTCTATCTTACCAATTAAATATTTTCTTTACATTTTTGTCTGTGATGTTCAGTATAATAATTTGTTGCACAAAAAATATATAAACTTTGACCAAATAAGTTTAGAAAAAATTCTGAAAAGAAAAACCCTTAAGTAAGTGAAGAAAAGATTTGATCAAATTCTCTGTACTACATTACAAGAAATGATTGCTGCTTGAAAGGAAGATTCAATGTGAAAATGCAGGCCACACCTAAGTACTAAAGACAAAATGGAAAAGGTGGAAACATTGACGATATTTGGCTGGAGTCCAAGACAGTTTTTCAGCTACATAGAACAAGTCTGAATCACCTTCGGCAAGGTAAAAAAAAAAAAAAAAGAACATAAGGAGGTGAAAAAGGAGTGGGAAGGTGTGAGGATCCCATTCAAGTTGTTGAATGAGATGCTTTTAAACAGAGGCTGAAGTGGGAATAGTTCAGGTCTGATTTTTATCCCTACAGTGTATTATTTCACCGCCAAATAAAGATGGCCAGAGAGCTCCACTATCTTTTTTGGAGAGATCAAAGCTGAAAACTTGGGCTCATTTGAAACATCCTTAAATCTTTAACATGTCTTGAAAAGTAGAAGACTTTTTTTTTTTTAAACAAAACAAAAAACTGAACCAAGAGGCTCATAAAATGTACTGAAGCAGTGCATGATGATAAGGCTGCTCTCCTTGTTGCAATGCATTAAAGGACTTCCTGTTGGCTGAGAGTGAGCATAAACAAACCACACATGGACATCCTGTAGAACAAATTGTATAAGCTGTACATGAAAAACGTCACATGTTTAAATGGAGAATAGCTTTTCTGTTTTTTTGCTGTTGTTTTTTTGAGTTGTCTAACCCTAACCCTATGCCAGAGCAGATTCAAAGCTTTAGAGATTTATTTTAAACTTTGTTGCTCGTCTAAATTTGAGGAGAATGTGAAAAGAAAAGACACACAAGATGATAGATAATGAGTCTTTAAAATAGTTTTAACCCTCTCCAGGCAGATGTTGCAGATTTGCAACAGCTCATTGCTACTTAGCTAGTCTTTGCAAGTAATTTGAGCCTGAGAGGGTTAAACCTTCCAAGTATAACAAGATAATGCACAGTAAATGATTATTTCAGCTAAAATAAAACGAGGTGAACTTTTGCAACTTTATAGACAAAACAAAAATCGATATCTATTACAGCTTTTACATATTTTCTTTTCTCATATTTGTTTGCTATGTTCTTTGACTTATTGGTGCATGAGCCATCAAGTTTTGTATATATATATATATATATATATATATATATATATATATATATATATATATATATATATATATATATATATATATATATATATATTCATAGTCCTGATAGTCTTTTGACAAGCATAAAAAAGACTGTTGATCATCATCAGTGACTCTTTTTTGTGACTTTGAGTGAGGAAGCATATTTGGGTTTATGGTAATGAATCAAAAGGATATAAGAATGCTTTAAATGCATAAAGGCAGTTTGCATAATATGACAGAATGACTTATCAGTTCAACTGTGCTGATTCAAATAAAGATTGTATTACACTGCAGTTATTAGAAGCAGTCTTTCTCAAATACAGTTTCTAATTTGCTAATTTGTGATAAATTAACATTACTTTTAAAATGAAATTTACATAATTTTTTGTTTCACTCCTGTAACAATACCCTCATCTTCTTTAAAGTTTGAGTAAAATCTCAAGGAAAATGCCTGTTGCAAAAAGCATATTTAAAAGTAGGATGTATTTTTATTCTGGCAGTGTTGTTAATAATACATAAAAAATATAGGTGGAAACTACATCCAAGATGGTAAGACAAATTAATGTTTGTTTTGCATGCCCTTTAAGAATGAAAAATAGTAGCAGACCTTCATTTGTAGGTCTGTGGTGTGCAGCATTTGAATTTACCTGAAAATATAATGATGGGTGCAGAACATATTTTTGCTACAGAATAATTAATATGCTTCTTAGTAATTTTTAGGTTTAGATTTTTAAAATGAATGAAAAAAAAATATTGTTGATTGAAATCTTTTTTTAAAATCTATGTCATGCAAAAAAAAGACCTTTTGCTTTTGAAGCCACAAAGTAACACAGCTTGCATGTGTGTGGAAGGTCACATGCTTTTTTTCCCACCTTGCTTTAATAGAGTTGGTTCTTCTGTTAAAAGATTTCATAATTTCGATGTGAAGTTAAAGGTTTTCCTCAGCATGTTTCTCGATCTCAGCACACCTTGTGTCCCCAGCTGAACTGTGATGTAAAGATGATGTGGTGGAGTGGTGGCTCGAGGTCAGATGATCATCTGCAATCCTGCAGCTCTTCCAACCTAAATCCCTTAAAAATAACTTTTAAAGTCATCTGCTGCCGCATAAAGTCAGCTTTGTGGTATGGCAGTGCCTGGCATGGCTGGAAAAACACAGCATGGGATCGTGTTTAATTAGCAGGTTGATGCAAAGAGGGAGAGACATGCAGCATTAAAACATGTGAAGTATTCACATTGAAGAGCCATATGTCAGATTCTAGAGGCGGAGTGGTCAAATAAAGCCGAGTCAACCGAGGTCACCGACAGACCCACTTTCTCAAAAACATGTCCACACAGTGGGCTTCATCGCTACAAGCCGCCGCTGGGTTTGTGTTTGGGAAAAGCGTTGAAGAAGAGGGCCGCTCTCTCTCACCTCTTTCAGGTGTCACATGATAAGGAGATCAAAAGGCGCTCGGCATTGAACGTCCCGGGAGTGGAATGTTTGTCTTTGACGTGAGCAGCAGGGAAAAACAGTCGTGTTGTTTCACGGGGTGCTCACACACACACAGTCAAATACAAATGGAGGTCTCCAGGATCCACGTGTGATGATTCAAAGCTTCCCCTCGTTTTCAGGGTGTGAAGAGCCGGCAGCCGCGACAGGTGATCGGAGGAAAACAGAGTTGTTTTGAACGTCCCCTCAGAACAGAATCTACACGAAGCCATGTTTTTTTGTGTGAGCAGCACTGTAACTCGGCTCTGCAGGCAGTTTTCATTCTTTAAATTTATGTCTGATGGTTGAAATTCTTCCTGAAGTTACAAGGATGGATTGTTTTCCACTAAATGAATCTCTCACTTTCGAACATGACAGGAGCCACTGATAGCTTAAAAACATATTTATGTCATCATTTTAGAACTTTTCAAGGTTTCTGATAGTACAATGCTTTGGGGAAATATTGCAATTTATTGGACATTTGGTAGACCAACACAAAGTAGAAAATATGTGTGAAACAGAAGAAAATGACTTGTGGTTTTCCAACCTTATTTTATAAATACTTTGTACAATTCAAAAGCTTTAGACACAGCCACTCTATGGTTCTGTTTGTTACTTTCTGAAGATGTGATTAGACAGTATCAGACTATCTGTTCAGCTAAGACTGTTGAGTCTGAGTTTTAGATGTTATTGAGTTTGAATTTTTTTTTACCCTATTCACCATAAATACATTTTAAAAATGTGCAAAAATGGAGTATTTAGAATTGTAAAAATCATCCCTACCTTTGGCAACACTCAGAAAAAACTGCAATATTTGCTGAATGGACCCAAAAGTTCTGTATTTATCTTATTTTAGAGGTATCTTATCTCCACCACCAGGTCATATATTTTCCATGAAACTTACTCAGTAAATATCACATTCGCTCTGCTCTCCTCTTCTTTTATATTCTGGCTATATTTCTCCAAAAATGTCCTGTTAAACTTCAGTGATGCATCCCATTATTTTAATGTTTCATAGTTTTCTGGAATTGAATTGAACTGAATTAAGTGATCAAAAAAATAAGAAAAAAAGAAAACTGGCTGGTTGCATAATTTGCAAAGAAAAAAAGGAAGTAGAAACAACGACAATGGATGATTTGTGTATCTATTAGAAAAGCAGGTCAAATGAGGTAAGAAATCTCCATTGCAAAGTGAGTGGAATTTGTATTTTTATGATCGCAAAACAGTCCCAATTATTAGTGTTTTATAACAGTTTCAATTTACGTCATCAATATTCTTTATACTGGGTTCTGCATTGTTTTCAGTGAGTTCCTTGGTGTTATGCAGTTCAGCTCGACTGTACACAGTGGTTCCACATGGCCTTGTCTCGGGTTCAGAAAAGAGGCACAGAACAGAGGTAAACTAGTTTTTGGACGACATGTATTATTTGGATCTCAATCCAGCGAACAGTCTATGGGACCAGTTCGGTTGTTTCGACTATCTCACCCTTTCTCTCTCTCTCTCTCTCTTTATTGGTGCAAATCTGGTTTTCGGGATTGGACCACTCTGTTCTGGGTCACGTCTGCGGCGGTGCCTGTTTAATCGGCGTCCTCTCCCATGGCTGAGAATCAGCAGTCAGGAATGTGATCTGAGTGGGCACAATGACGCTTATCCTCCCCAACAAAGTTTTTTTTATTCTTCTCCTCCTCACAAGATTTCCTTAATCGGATAATTCCTGTCTTATTGAACAAGGAGTGTAGATCATGGGCCGAGCTCTGGGAGAAAAACACTGGAGTACAACTGAGGTCATTTATGACGAAGGAGTGTTGGACTGCTCTCACAGCTTTACAGTTCTGAATGGAGGGAGAGGTTTATTCATTTGGACCCCAAAATCTTGGCGTGCTGCAGGATAGTCCATGTGTGTGAGTGTTTCGGTGTGTTTCCAAATGAGTGTGTATGTTTGCAAGTTTGTGATTGTACATTTGTGTGTGGGAAACCCAGGAAATCCAGTCTCCCATGCGCCAGCATCCATTGTGTTTGGTTTCCTCCTCTCTCTGTCCTTCTGAGTGACTGTGTGTGTGTTTAGCTGCAGAGCTTTCCTCTCTCGCTGCGGCTCTAATGAGACAGAGGAGGAAGTCCAAGCAGGAGGATTGCACTTGGCAGTGTTAACTGGAAACACTCTCATGAATGGGTCAGAGGATCTGTGTTGGTAGGATTATTATGTTCTAGAAGAAAGAAAAAATACTGCTTTCATCCAAACTGTTTCTTCAGACTCACTTCTCCCTCCCCCTCTCCCTCCATTCGTTTGCAGATCCTTTCTTCATTCACAACAGAACAATCTGTCCAGTACAGACATCAAAGAATCCAGCACAGTAAATAAAGACTGGAAGATCATATGCAGAGAGGGAGAGCTGTGGAATAAAACCAGATGCCACCCTTTGTGATGTTGACTGGATTGACTCTCTGTGGTTCCACTTTGCTTCACTTTCAACTTTATTGTTTTCCGGGAGGAGCGGATAAATATGCACAGCATGCTGTAGTAGGTTTCACAAAGTAAAATTTTAAATATGTCTTAAAAACAACACCTTGCAAATCTCTTGACTTGTTACATTTTTATTAGATTTTTACAGGTTCTGCACTGTGTAACAAAGTAAGCACATCGATTTTATGTAGGTTCCCCTTTTCACATTAAAAATATCTAAAAATACTTTACAATGTAGTATAACATAAAATAAAATAAAACAGAGGTGTGCACAAGATGTCATGAATAAAATGAAAAAACAAATGAAGAGGCAAGAGAAGTAAATGTGATGTTGGATGGCTGAAAACACCTCAGTAAAAATAAACTACAGAGTAACAACTTAATGCCATGGCCATTATGGGAAGGCCGGATTGAAAGGATCCTTTTCAAACTACTTTTTAAAAGACACCACAAAGTAATCTGCTGTCACCGAGTTTCCCAAAAACCACAAAAAAACTTGCAAACAAAGTAACCTTTCTGTAACAGCTGCAGAGATATAGAAACAAATTTATGTCAGGGAAAATCCCTGATGGATGCCTTCAGGCTTTAAGGGAAGTGTGCAAATTTCTGAGTCATTCAGTAGGAGTCAGAAAAGTAGACTAAAATTGCTTCTTATCTCATACATGCGGAACTACAAGTCATTCATGTTGTCATGAGTTTTCATTTTAACTTCCAGGTTTTTTTCAGGCTCTTTCAAGATATTTCAAGTTTTTCTTTAGGCTTTAATTGTTTTCAAAATCTTAACCATCATAAAAAATAGAGTTTAAGAGGAAACTTATTATTTCCTGACCCATGGTGGTAAGTACAGACACCTGTGCCAGAATCCCATACATTGAGTACAATCCTTTACCATAAATTAACAAATAAGCTTCTGCCACTTGCCTTGAAGTGGCAGACTAGTTTTGTTTTATTGAGAGTTTTTCTGGTTCACTACTAACCAGGATAACTAACATATTAGTGATGTTCTTTCCCTTAGCGCAGACCCAAGCCAGCCCAACATGCCAAGTAAAACGATTTTGCAGCTGATAGCAAACAGACAAAAAGGAAAATCTTGTAAAGGCAAAAGTCAACAGGCGAAAGGATAACTTTCTGAGCATCTATAGTAAACTGAGAGCTAATTTTCCTCTTAATTTATTAATCAATCATCAATCAATCAGTCAACTTTTTTATGATGTTAGGTAGATTTGGTGATAGTGGGGTGAGTCAGCCATCTTGCCTGACAGGAAACTTTGACACATCAATAAATACAAATATAACATTCAAATTGGTCCAGTGCTTAAGACCACTTTTGCTTTGAAGTGTGAACTTTCAGGATAAATAATTATAATTTTACTCCTGAAAGAGAACTTTCTGACCCCAAAAGCATAGAAAAAGAAGCGCAGAAATAAATGCGTGTAGCACATGCAACAAAGACCTTAATAATGCACACAATGAAGGATTTCTCTTCATGATCAGATAGTTAAGTGGCATCATGTAATAAAACACAAACATAATGGACACATCTTTTGGAAACGCATACTTTCTTTTGATATTTTTACAGTCTTTTATGAGGTTATTTGTACAGTTATGAGTCTGAGGGTTAAAATGTTGTTTCCCCAACTCTGGTTTTCCACAGGATTTCTCAACTTTCCACAGGTCATTGTGATCCATTGTTTTTCCAGGTTATTGTGACATTTGCCAAATGTTTTAAGGTGTTTTCTGCCAGCGCTTCATATTCCATCACAGTGATCAGAGGAGACCAAACAAGCGGTAGCAGCACAGTTTAGGTTCGAGAAGGTCATTGCAGCTCTTGCACAACATGGAGTTCACTGACCTGCTGTGTATCTGTACAGCGTGTCATGTGAAAAACATTACATTCGCATTTGAGAACAACACACTTGCAGTGGGGGAAATCCTTGATGAGAAACAGTCAGGATGGAGGATGTTGTTTTCCACTCTTTTAATCACAAATGAGAAGGTTGGCCTTGTGCTGGACAGGAACAACTTTGTGAAAAAAAAACAAAAAAACAAATCTTTGGTGATAGAACCTTTGAAATTTGCATAGTGAAGAGCTATCCTATAATATGTTTGAAGCTAATGTTTTCTTATATGATAAACCATATAGAATTTCTTCACTTTCAGCCATTTTCTATACAGCATGCCTCAGCAATTTTTTTCTGGGATTGCATTTACTGTCATCAAACTCAATTTTATATCACAGCTGAAGAAACGATAGATACAAAAATGTTGCATATTTCAACTTTAAGAACTTGGAAGAAGCAGCTCATAGCTTAACTATTGATTAGAATGTCAAAGTTTAATTTTTCAAAACTTTCCAGAGTATAACATACCTTGTTGTTGCTGTTATATTTTTTAGGGAGAAAAGTTTTGAAACTGACAAAAATCTTGTTATTCATAAACTTTGTCTCGGTTTTAAAACTGTCAAGTTTAATAGATTCTAAGTTACTATGATGAGTGACAAGATGAAATGAAACTGTTTGCAAATTCAATAAAAATGGAAAATCCTCTGCATTTAAGCTGTGCCACAAAAGCTGCCACTAGAGAAATATGTTTATATAAATCTGACACTGGGATCAGCATATTAATCTATGCGTACAGTCTGATTTACTTTAGTAATGATGACTCTTTACGAAACAGATTATAAAGCAATGTAATTATTATTATTATTATTATTATTATTATTATTATTATTATTATTTTACAGTTTTAAAGATTCAAAGAACAGGGCCACATTCACAATTTTCATGAACAAAATATTTTTTGTGTTTATGCTGCAAATCCAACACAAAACTTCTTTGACGTAAATTACTTGAACAAGCTGATCTGAACAAACAAAAAATACAAGAAGATGGAACATTTACATTTCACCAGATGCCTTTTGGGAGAAGGGTTGTGTTTGTCCTCCCACGCTGTAGTTTCCAGCAGAGTTTACAGTAAGGGATGACACACAGGGGCACTGAGCAAGCATTCAGAAGAGGGTCATTAACCCTGCGAAGCGTACTGGCTTGCTGCTATCTTCTCTCTCTGCAGTGTGATGCAGGTGGCTGTTCCGCTGTACCACAGCTGCAAAAGAGGTCCGAAAAGGCCCATTTCCTCCTCTTATCTTAGAGTGTGCGAAAGTTTACGCTGGCACGTCTGAGTCAGACATGCTTGATTGTATCTAAGAGTCCAGCAGGTGGTAAACACTTGCATGCGTGCACACATGCACGCCCATTTTTTTATTTTATTTTTTTCAGATATCAGCAAATGGACTTTTGACATCCTCTGTGGTGATTGCACACAATCACCGCAAATCACAAAGCTAAAAGACGAAAGAGGAGGAGGAAGGGTCCACGGGTTTATCATTTGCCAGCTGGAAAACACAACCTTAATGTTTACATTTTGGGGCATAAACTTGTTTTGTTGCCATGACAACTGTCATTCAGGATGCTGAGCATGCCACACCAGAGGCTAAGTACACACACAGTTTTTACACTGCTGATGATTGTTTGGAGGTTGGTTCTTCCTGCGACAGGACTTGAAACATTCTTTCGATCTCAGAAATGGACCTGAGGATAAGACCCCACTGTTGTTTTGTTTTTCTCTGTCCTCTAACAAGGAAAACAAGGCATGAGAACGAGGAGAAACAGAAACCCCCTCAACATGATCCATCGGGGTCCTGGACTCTTTCAGAAGATAGGAATGTGAACAATTCTCCCTCGGGACAATCTTAAAAATAATTACTGCATATTTCAGCCTTCGAAATACGTCACAGAGATATGTTAGTTTCAGAAAATAAAAACTCAACCCAAACCTACAGGTAAACCTATTATCTCCAGAGTGAAAAGCAAAACATGGCTACTAACTGGGCATTATTTTAAATTTGAGCCATTTGTAGAACTATTATTTTGCAGTGATAATTTGTAGTTACTTTCTTTGTCACTGTAGAAATCTCTCATATTGCTAATAACTAAAATTTCAAAACATTTGTTTCTGCAAAGTTCACTTAAGTTTCTAACACAGCATTTAAAGCAAGTTGAAGTCTTGACTTTGTCTGGGTCAGTGAAGAACTTCTATTCTTTTTTTCTTTCAGACATTATTTTCCAGGGTTCAGCTGTCAGACGATGCCCTCACATTTGGCTCCATGGACTGAATAGCAAAGGTTCATCTGTTGTACAAAGCATACCAAAATCCTGTCAGAAAAGCACACTACCTCTCCGCCACTATACTTGACACTTGGAATGCATTATTATAGGGAATTAAATTGAAATAAATACACTGAGACCATTGTTGTAGGTCTCTTGGCTTCTTCATTAGTTTTCACCTTGATTGCTCTGTCGGTGTCTTCCCAGGTTTGCAGTTGTGCCGTTCCCTTTGAATATTATGTGATGGCCTGAGCAGTGATCTATGAGATTTTCAATGCTTGGTTTGTTTTCTAGCCTAGAACTGCTTTAAACCTCTGCTCCAGGCCTGCCTGCTGTATTTATTCGCTAATGTCCACTTACAAACGTCTGGGTTTTTCACGGAACAGCTGTGTTTAAAATGAGATCAAAATACACAATGGTGGACTGTATATACAAACAATATAACTTCATAAGAAGAAGGGGGCTGATGCACCCACACTTGATTTTTTTTACTCACATAGCATTTCAAAAAACTTTTATGCCTTTCATTTCAGCATTACAAAATGTTAAAAGTTCAGGGGTTGTGAACTCTTTTTTACAATAACATCATCCATTCACGCTATTTGCATCATCTCGGTGAAAGCAACATCGAGCGGACACTGACCTCCATGTTTATCTTACATCGGCTACTTGTTTTTTCTGACTTTACGTAATGCAGAACAATGTTTGATAGCCTCTCTGTGGGAACTTTGAGGGTAAAAATGAGCAC